AAATTTGTAATTGCGCCTTTTTGCGAAAAGGTAAAAAAATGAAGGTATGCAAAACTGTAAATAATCGACTTATGTAAAAAATTGTTTTGGTGTTTGTGTTGTGATAAAATGATACAGGTGTATATTTAATTGCAACACAAGGTATCACAACGCATGGCAATGAGTCACAAAGCTTTGCCATGCGCTGCCACAGTTAATTTAATGTTTTTTTTTAAAGAAAAAAAATAAATAAAAAAGATCATGCACTGCGATGCGTTCTAACAACGCACTGCAGCGCATGTGCATGGTGTGCACCACAATATGTGTGTGTTATGTGGGGGGAGGGAGGGGTTGTGCTTTTTTTTATTAGTTTGGTTTTTTTTATTTTGTTTTACATTTAAAAAAAAAAAATTTTTAAACATTTTTTTTAAAATAATTTTGTATTTATTTGTTTTACTGTCTAAAGGGGACAGTCTGCTGAACAGTTCTACTATAAGCTGATGGTCGCTAAAGCGACCATCAGCTTATAGTAGAACTGTAAATGCCAGGTCCGTACGACGTACTGAGCTGGCCAGCTGGAAGCACTTTTGTAGCTCCGTACGACGTACGTCCTTGGCAGCGAAAGGGTTAAAGCAGTAGTAAACCGCCAACAGAAACTGGACCTTTTCGGCCCCTAGGAGATGTATGCCATATTGTGCTAGTATTCACAGGATATTAACTAGGGCTGGGAAAATTATGGGGGGAGTAGTCCGCTGACGTCGATGTCCGTGACATCACCGGATCTCCTCCCCCCTTCCCTTCGTTAGCCGAAGCCACTTGGGCCGGTAATCAGTCGACACTGAGAACTTATCGAGTTCTGTGACCGCCTGACTTCCGGTTTCGTTACAAATAAGAGGTTTGCCCGAGAAACTTGTTCTGCACGAGCGCCAGCCAAGGCATTGGCCTATACACATATGTGTACAGCAATGAAGTAATAAAATGGACTAGGATTACACTAATCCAGCACGTTATTATTCTGAGTTGCCCCACTCAAGCGGCGGCCATATTGAGTGTGGCACGTGAGATTAATAACGTGCTGGATTAGTGTGATTCTAGTTCATTTTACTTCTTTGCTGTGGTGTATGTGTATAGGCCAATGTAGTTGGATCTGTATGTGCGTTATAATTAATTGAAATTAATCGTTTAATCGATTTTAAAAAAATGTGATTAATCGAACACGAAAATTTTAATCAGTACCAGCCCTAATATTAACACATAGTGGCAGACTTACCTTGCAGACGATCCGCATACAGTGCTGTGACGTCAGCACTCTACTCAGTCCCTGGAACTTCTATATTCACCCGGTTTTCTTTCATATTCGGAGTCTTCGACCTCTTGATTGGCCGAGCCGGGGTGATATAACTACCATGCAAACGGGTGTTACTTTGTCTCTGCACAGGACCTTGCAGGTATTGTACACTGGTGTGCACAAACACTAGCAAGCAGGGAAGAGAAATTATGACAGAAGAGACACAGAATCTGGTCAGTGTTTTTTTTTGTTTTTTTAAAAACTTAACTTCCACGCTAAAAATCAGACAGAAGTTTTAACAGTTTTCCACTCTATGCAAAACTCTTTTTTTTTTTATGTTTTGGCTATCCCCCTTCAGTCTATCATAAATGCTACTGCCAGACTCTTTCATCTCACCAACTGTTCAGTGTCTGCCACCCCTCTCTGCCAATCCCTCCACTGGACTCCGCTCACTCAACAAATAAAAATCAGAATACTAACAACAACATAGAAACTCATCCACAACTACTCCCTGAGCTACATCGCCAACCTCATCTCAAAATATCACCCAAACCGTCCCCTGCACTCCTTCCAAGACCTCCTGCTCTCTAGCTCCCTGGTCACCTCCTCCCATGATCTCCTCCAGGACTTTTACAGAGTCTCTCTCTTCGTTTGGAACTCTCTAATCCAACCTGTCCAGCTATCTCCTACTCTGTCCACCTCTAGGCGATCGCTGAAAACGTATCTCTTCAGGGAAACCTATCCTTCCTCTACCTAAAAACTGACTTTTACTTTCCACATCAGCTCAACCTTACCCAGGTATTACCTTTTGTATCACTTGCTCCTAACTTTTAGATTGTAAGCTCTCACAAGCAGGACCCTCCTGACCCTTTTGTTTCGAATTGTGTAGTAACTGTGCTGCCTCCTTTTATATTAAAAAGTGTTGCGCAAACTGTTGATGCTATATTAATCCTGTATAATGATAATATAATAAAAGACGACTGTAACATTTGCATATAGGTTCACTATAATAAACATGCATGCCATTGATGCAGCATCAGCAACTATTAAAATCCACGTGAACATTACACGGTGCTCTCCCCAGGCGGAGGTATGCAGGATTCCTGGGTCCTGTATCACTCCTGTGTTCAGTAATGCAGTGAATGCTCCGCAGGGTGTGTTTTGTACATGCGTGTGTATTTTAGATATTTATACTCCAGCACAAGACAAACAACAACACAGCTTTTAGCCTCTTCTCCCCGCTCAGTGATCCTTGAACTGAGCTGTTTGCTAGAGTCTAGTCCGACTCCCTTGATCAGACTGTATGTAATAGGAATTTGTGACACTCAGGAAATAAGCTAATACCAAACAAACCTGAAAGCTGCAAAATATTGTTCTTTTGGACCAACATGGAGAGCTACTGCCACCAAGGAGAGCTTGAATTTGAATTGTGCATGGTTTAAATAAACACTGTTGCAAGTGTTGGGTAACAGCATATAACATGGCAGTAAATACTGGGTACAATGAAAGTGACACTAAACTCAGGAGTTAAATCTTAAAAATACACTCAGGTACCTTAACTATTAACAAAAATGTATCTTATGTGTGTATCACTCGGCTGTAGATCCTCAAATCATCTCTGAATTGGTGCTGACACTGTCCTTCCTTCTGGAAGGGGGCTACTTTTGTTCCCCATGGTCCCTGTGTGTGTTGTAAAGTAATCACCGCTTCAAGCTCACTCCAGTTATGGACAACATTCTCATGTTTAGTTCACTAATTTGTTTTGAAAGCCATCCTCACACCTGGCCCGACTAAGAGACCTGTTGTGAAGTCCTTAGGATATTTCCTTCACAGTCGGCTGTTCTGTTCCTTGATTTTCCACATAATTAAGAGACTGAGGATTGTCGCTGCAGGAAACGTCAGCTAAAATCTACCAGCGCATTCCAGGGATTCCTTACGGCCGGCTGGGGTCTGTTACGGAAAGTAACATGCAAAAATAATGAGATGCAGGAAGGCACAAAAGCAACAAGTTAACAAAAACAAATATTAGGATACAATAATAACTGTACTGATTTATTAAAGAGATTTATGAAGACATAGATCAGTCATTTTAATATAATAGTAAGTTATCATTTTATTAATAGTGATAAGATAGTAATAATCATTCTGTGGAGGATTAAAGTAGAAAGGCAGAAGGGAATAAGTGGTTTCTGAAGCTATTTGCCTTCTGGGATTGGCTGAAGTTCACTAGATAAAGAAATTCCATAAATAATTTTTTTAAATGTTGGTAACTCTACTATGATGCAACAATGATAGTCATTTCTCAGGCACATTGATGAAAATGTAGTCACCATGATAAATTTTCTAATGGAAATCTCAAATTAGAAATACTATAGCCTCCGGTAAAAGAGCTTTCTGTCCTTTCTGTCTGTCTATCCAGGGCCAGTGCAAGACTATTTTGCGCCCTAGGCATGACCAGCTACTTTCAGGCGACAGGTTAATTTAATTTGAAATAGCCAATAGCAGACTGGCTATTAAAACCCCACCCACTGAGCAGAGGAGTGGACCTGAGAGAGAAAGTTGTTTCTCAGTTCCCCTCCTCTTCTTAGTGGGTGGGTGCAATAGCCGGCCTGCTATAGGCTTTTGTAATTTAGGGGGTGCCATGGGGGAGTGGTCAAGGCTGTGCCTAGTGGTAGCACCTGCCCTGTATCTATCTATCTATCTATCTATCTATCTATCTATCTATCTATCTATCTCTCATCTCAATAAATTTTTATTGGCAGCAGGACTCAATACATTTTAGCTTTGCAAAAGCAATTGAATTATGGGTTGAATTTAGGGGCGGGGGATGAAGGAATGAGTCATAGGACACTATCTATGGTAATATAAAGTGGATAGGAAGTTAGTCCAGGATTATTATCAGGCAACACTAGGTAGGGAAGAGATAAGTCCATGATTTCTCATGTCCCTCTCAGTCCATAACATATTGTTCAATTATTTTCACCATCAGCTCCTCATCCAAATAAAATGTGGAGTTTCCTCTTCTCTTCTATGGAGGTGAAGTCTGGGATGAGAGTGAAAGTGTGTGTTCCTCACAGCTGGGTACTTGGGACTATATAGCAGGAAGTGGGCCTCAGGGACCCCCAGTCACAGCACTGGCACAGCCTACTCTCCCTTGGATGTAGGTCTGTCTGTGCCGTTCTAATTCGATTTTCAGGCAGTGCTCAGTCTGTAACATTGCCAACCAACCATAATCCAAGCACTTCGGGAGCTTAGTGAATAACCCCCTAAGTGACATTGCAGAGAAAATATATGTAAAAACAGCTTTTTCTGAGTGAGACAGGGAATTCTCTGCAAAAAAACTTAGCTGTATTCTGAGGACATAACAGAACAGGAATGGAACAAGCAAACTAAACAAAACGCACAAGCTGCAATAGAAATAAGTATGTAAATTGCAATGATTTCCTCCTATTAAGTTGCCCGGCAGCCTTCTACCTAACCATATAAAGCACGGGTAGCAAAACTCTGGCCTTCCCCCTGTGGTGAAACTACAAATCCGATTATGCCTTTGGCTCTGGGAGTCATGCCTGTGGCTGTCAGAGTCTTGCAATGCCTAATGGGATTTGTAGTTGCGCCACAGCTGAGGGCCTAAGTTTGCCTACCTCTGCTGTAAAGGAAAGCTTTGCATACTGCCCACTAATACAATGTTATGTTTTACATATCTTTCAGGTCAGACGAAAAACAGTTCATTCAGCGGCTCATTAGATGACACAGAATGTCACCAGTCTAATGAGAACCTGTCTAATGGAAACAGTCATATCCCACCTAAAGCTGTACGGAACATCCCCCGGAGACACACAGTAGGCGGGCCCCGCAGTTCAAAAGAAATTTTGGGAATGCAGACCTCGGAGATGGATCGTAAGAGGGAGGCATTCCTAGAGCATCTGAAATACAAATACCCTCATCATGCTACAGCAATAATGGGTCACCAGGAGCGCCTAAGAGAACAGGTAGGAAATTGCACTTTGTAGCTGCAGTGTACAGTATGGGACCCTTCCTGTCTTTAGTGTTGAAGATGTGACAATGTCCAGGACATCAATATAAAGATCTGGGCCCTATAACAAAATAATTCTAAGAGGGATATTCCCTGTATCATATAACTGCTCTTATAAGTAGGGATGCACCGATACCGAGTATTTAGGTGAGTACTCGTATCTTCCCCGATACCGGAACTGACGGTCAGAGGAAGATTTCCTCTGACCGGCATTACCAAAGGGGAACACAGAGCTGGCTTCCTGGGCAAACAAGAAGCCGGGTGGCGAGTAATGACCTGTCTTCCGGCTTCCTTATTGCATGGCGTCGGCATGGATTCCTGATTGCATGGAGCCAGCTTCCCAGCCAATCAGGATGCCGGGAGGCGGATCATTACTCGCCGACTGGCTTCCTGATTGGCCGGGAAGCCGGTTCGATGCTAATTGGCTGGGCAGCCGGTTTCATGGCCAATCAGGAAGCCGGGTGGCTTGTCATTACCCGCCGCCCAGCTTCCTGATAGCCTGGTTCCATGCCAGTGGAAGCACTGCACTTTCGGCGTGTACCGAAAGCAATATATCGGTACTCGATACTGAAGGAACGGTATCGGTGCATCCCGACTTATAAGGAAGTATACTTGGTCAATGGTATCATAAAGGGTGAGGGATTCTTGTCCCCTAAAAAGCAGCATCCCTATTGGATTTCGATGGGTAACCAGAGGACTCCAAAGGGGAAGGAGGACTGTGCTCTCTTATAGTTCCTCTATGAGGGAGCTGCTTCCCCGGATGCATTAAGAAAACTATTTTTTACCTGCTCACTGGTCCGGCAAATCAAATAATCACCCATTAGACGGAATGAATGGATTTGCTAGTGGAAATTATTTTCAGTTACTTGATCTTTAGTTTTATTATTCTATTGAAGTTCTACAATTTGCTCTTTCGAAATTCTACTCAAGCCCCCCATCTTGATTGCCTTTGAAACAATTCCATTGTTGGAAAGTCTTCCTACCTATGCAGAATCAGATGAACCGTGTATGTGCCGCTGTTATCGATGGAAATAGATTATAGTGAGTCTTGACACTGGTGCTACTTGTTTGAAGACAGGCAGATATCTGCTGACCCAGAACAACCAATCAGAAGTGATCTATCTTAAAGAAGAACTCCAGGCAAATACAATCTTAACCCTTGCGGTGGGGCTACCTCTGCACTGCAAGGGTTAAGTGCTCGTTTTGCCTAGGGAGCTAAAATACCAGAGATATACTCACCCGAACTGCGATCCCTTCTGGCTCCTAACAGGTTCCTCCAGCCTCTTTACCCCTCCACTCCAGCGACGGAATGTCCCTCTGCGTTTTCATGACCTATACGCTGTATAGGACGTGATGACTCACTGACCTTAGACCGCTGGAGCGGAGGGGAAGCAAGGCTGAAGGGACCTGTTTAGGAGCCAGCCAGGTTGCGCTTCGGGTGAGTATATCTCTGTTATTTTAGCCCCCTAGGCAAAATGGGCACTTAACCCTTGCAGTGTTGGTGCAGCCCCACTGCAAGGGTTAAGATTATATTGGCTCAGAATTCTTTAAATCTGTGTCGGCATTCTGCAGTTTGATAACTAGCACTGTTATGCAGCCTGTACGCGTCACAATTCCATTGTAAGGATAAAGATATAACAAAAGAATCATATCATTCAGAAATCTACTGTGATGAAAGATTGCTTCAATTAACTGAAAAATAACAATCAGTTCTAGCGGAAAATACTTTTTTCTCTATACAGGTGAAACTCGAATAATTAGAATATCGTGCAAAAGTAATGGCAGTAATTGCTGCAAAAGGGGCCCAAACCAAGTACTGAGTACATATGCATGCTTGTACTTTTCAGAGGTCCGATATTGTTCTATGTACAATCCTTGTTTTATTGATTGCATGTAATATTCTCATTTTCTGAGATTGTGGATTTGGGGTTCTTGGGGTTTTCATGAGCTGTAAGCCATAATCATCACAATTATGACAAATCACGGCTTGAATTATCTTGCTTTGCATGTAATGAGTCTATCTCATATATTAGTTTCACCTTTTAAGTTGCATTAGTGAAATAAATGAACTTTACACGATATTCTAATTATTCGAGTTTCACCTGTATATCTATATATTATCTATTTAAAGATATTTTCTTCATTTTTAAGCAAAAGATTGTTTGAAAAGATTACATTTTTTGATTCATTGTTTGTTCATTATTATGTGAATTGGCCAGGGTGGCTTAGAGAGGTGTGTTTATAAATCATGCACAGGAAACCATTATGAAATGTATACATGGTTTGATTTAAACTATTCATATTAGTAGTGCCTTGTTACTTGCTACTTGTTGCTCTGTTGGGAAGTATCAGCACACATTTTGATGCCAGTTATACCTACAGTATTTGATAGTCTGTGCCATCCTCTCCTCTTGCCAAGCCCCCTCCTGTGGCCCCCTGGGGGCGAAAGGAACCAAGGATGTAGAGCCCCTTCGCTCCTGTTTGTCTAATCTGTTTGGATTACAATTGGTGCTATATGTATGCACATGATTACATCAATTCACATTGTTGGAATATGCTCCTCCTGAGGAAGCCACAGATGTGGCGAATCGCGTAGAGGATATCATACAACATTGATAATCTGTTGATTCCATCTATGGACTTTTGTGGCCACAGTTTTCATCATTCCTATATAAAAGTATATGGTGTCAATACCGTACAGGGTCAGACTGAGCACCAATGTACATTTTAATAGATTGTTTTTTGTATTCTGAATAAAGTTTTTGATATTTTAAACATTTTAATTATGTCTCCAAAGGTCCTATATTTGCCTTAAAAGTTATTTTCTCTAGTAAGCCCACAGCCCTTTTGCTGGGTGTTTCTAATTTTTGCACTTTTTTGGTGGGTGTGGCCGTAGGACCTTCCCCTCTTGAACACTGTTATTGTATAAAGCAGTGCTTGTGAAGTCTGTTGAATCAATTCTGGAAATACTCCAGTAGAACTTGACATCTATGATTAAGCCCAGGTGGTGAAATGCGTGAAAGGAGTTGGAGAGATACTATGGTGGCGTATACCGTGTATTTTGAACTTTGCATGGAATTTACAACAGTAAAGTTGGATTTTTTATGGACCTCGGTTTCGTGCGGCTGATTGGAGAGATAGCAGTAGAACTTAGTTTAGAAAAATTAAATTTTGGAAGGTCCTTTGGCTTTCCTAATAGTTATCGGGGTCAAATCAACAATGATTTTCAACCACACTGATAAAAAAAAAACAAAGACGCAGGATGGATTTTTTTCTGGAATTATCGAAATTCTAACAGTGAATGTGGTTTTCATTTGGGAAATTTCATTCCAAAATCAAACTTTAAAATAAAAAAAACAAATAAAATTTCAAATAACATTAAAGCCCCCTATGTGACAGCTTTGAAGTTAAGTAGAAAAACTAAAAAAAAAGTTCTAAAAAAATAAAGTTAAATGGAAAAATACCCCCAAAAATGTTAGTCACGCATACTAACGTAAACACGCGTCAGGTGCACGTGTTAGGTATCACCGCATGCGCCACAGTGAGAGCAATAATTCTAGGGTCAATATTCATGGTTAACTCTAAACAGATGACCTGCACAGGCTTTTAAACCGTTGTCTACAGACAATTTGGGGTACTGTATTTTGTCGTCGTTGCACAGGAGCACGCAATTTTTAAGCTTGGTATTTTGGGTATTTATTCACTCAGCACAACCTCATCTTTTATATTTTACAAAAAATTGGATATTATATAGTGTTTTTTGTGCAATAAAATTAATTTAAGTGTAATTTTTACTGAAAATTTGGGTTGAAAAAAAAGTTGTGGGTTAATGTAGACCCATCCTACAGAAAACCAAAAACTAAGGTTGTTATTAAAGCCCGATTTCCAGGCCAGACAAATATTGTCATACTGTCTAAATATGAAAGTCATGTGTATACTTACCTGGCTCTTAGTATCCTTTCTGTATTTCTCTGGTCGCTGCTACTCTCTCTCCTTGTGCAGGGTGACTGGTCTTGTCTCCGCCCACTCCTGTTTTTCCTGCAGGTAGCCTGTAGAGGGTGGGGCCTGCTGGTTCACTCTTACAGCTCTGCACTCTCTATGTACAACACAGTGATTATATCACTGCTACTGGGGCGTACAAAAGTCAATTTATATTCTTTGTGGCCAGTGGCAGAACTATCACTATATACCGCACCAGGTGACCGCTACGGGGGCCTGGGGCACAGGGGGGCCCGGCCAGGACGAGGAACAAAGGGGTCCCCCTGATGATGGCATTTCAGGCTGCTGGCTTTGATTGGCTTTGATCTGTGCAGCGGCAAGTTCCTCCTCACAGCCACTGCCGGCCTCGGCAGCGTAGGAGGAGGCGGGGCCCGCCAGCGACTGTGGAGGAGGCGGGGCCCTCGTTGGAGGACGCTGACAGCGGATCGGGGCTGACAGGTAAGAGGTGTACAGTGGTGTGACTAGCCCACCTGAGACCTGGCAGAGCCCACCATAGAGACTCTATGGTGGGCTCTGCAGGGTCACTCTTAGGTGGGCTGTTTGGGATCTCAGGTGGGCTCTGCAAGGGTCGTAACTAGAAATCACGGGGCCCCATACAAAATTTTGCTATGGAGACCTGTGATTTCTAGTTATGTCCCCTGTTTGTGACTATTGAGGAATATATTTCTATAAAAGTGTTTGTGCCTGGTGTTTAGCTTTAAGAGAGGAGCTGTCCCCACAGATTCCAAACATGCTCCCTGTTCTATTTATATCACCGCTGGATGGCTCTGGAGCAGGAAGTCTGCTGGAAATCCTGCCCTGGAACCCTGTGACCCCGGAGAAGACAATTAACTGCCACACGCTCACCTCCTGCAACATCTGCTTGTTAAGCTGTAGCGGACGCCTCTGGCGGGATCATTCACACACACACATACACACATTTTCTTGCCTTGTCCTCTCTTTTTTCTCTCCACCTTT